TCAAATTTAAAATTTTATTTAAAAATAATCTAATTTTTTTCATTTGGATCAATAAGTTGTTGGTAATAGAAAAAATAAAAAGAAGAAAAATATAAAGATATATGAAGAAAAAAACTCTTTCTTTCTTAATTTCACCAAATAGATAAGATGCTTATTTATAAGTCTATATAAGAGAATATTCTATGGTACAAAATCAATTAGCTTAATTATATCAATCAATTATAAAGTGAACCCAATCAACATAATGATATTATGAATATTTTGTAACATCGCCCTTCGAACTCAAGGTGGTAATGAGGAGACCAGGTTGAGTTTGAAAAGAAAAGTGTGGAAGCATCCAGGAAAGTGAGTTTTTGGTGAAAAGATCTGCATATTGAATTTGCATATCAATGCAGTCGACGTCGCTGGAGGAGAAAGAGGCAATATTAGATTTGATCAACAACAATGTCGAAAGTTCAATTGTGAGAAATCAAAAGCAAAATCAACGGCAATTGGATGCGAGAAGGCTGGAGCAACACTAGCTATGGGAGTAACACATATTGACAGTGCAACAAAGGAACATGATCAAGAAAACCCAATTGCAAATAAGTCCAAGAAAGAAAGCAAAGATGATGATGGTCGACACCACCTACAAGCAAAGTAGCAACTCACAAAGGAGATGAACAGTAGTAGTAAAAAAAGCCTTAAGGCTCTGATATTATAATAGAAAAAATAAAGAGAAGAAAAATATAAAGATATATGAAAAAAGACTTTCTTTCTTAATTTCACTTAATATACAAGGTGCTTATTTATAAGCCTGTACAAAAGAATATTTTATGGTACAAAATCAATTAACCTAACTATATCAATCAATTATAATGTAAACCCAATCAATATAATAATAATATGAATATTCTATAACAGTTAGTTTAGTAATGCTTTTGCTAATAAAACAATAAGCCATTAACCATTATTAGCATCCTCACACGGGTGATCGAGCTCTTGCATAATATTGACGTGTAGTGAGAAAATCTTATATTAAAAAATAATAAAAATA